GGCTCCGATTTCGGAGTCCCCGGCTGGTAGTGGTTAACACTTTACACAGTCAAAGAACATGTGTGACTCACTCTGTGAAAATGAGTCTTAAGTCACCAGAGCCACTTTGGAGGAAAAGTTACTTTAGAATAACTTTGCAGAGTGTAAATCAATAGGAACCAAGAGCATATTTCACCATGGAGTATCCACTTTCATCAGGATACCAACTGAGTGATACATCAAAACAAAAAGCTCACTTTGCTCTTTCCAATCAAATGAAAACTCAAAAAGTGGCTCTGGTGACTTACGACTTGTTTTCACAGAGCAGGTCACATATAGCAAAGGTGTTTCATGAACAATGATGTCTTGAGGATGTCATTGTGTGATTCATTATGAAATTTTTAATATTTATTTTTTTGCCGTAAACTTTGTACACAGTTTTCGTTTACTTCACACTCTTGCATCATCAAACTTTGACCAAGCAAAGACCTTGACAGAAAGATCTTTCTACAACAGTGACATTTTGATGATTTTGTCAAATTACAAGCTGTTAAGATTTGATCATTTAATTCTTCAACATCCATGTAACATCAATCATGAGTTCCCGCAACTACCTTGTTATGGAAAGTGATAGAGTAAATTTAAGTCTGCATTTCATCTCGTGTACATAAATCACATGACCCTTGCTTCCAGTAAATGGTAAAAGGTATGAACTTGTTTCAGCTGTGTTAGTCTTAGGTCAGAGAGTATTCTTTGAGATGTGACGTCACGAAAAACTTCAGTGCCATTTAGCTACAGGTATAGATGTCTGTGGCAAAGTTTGCCGAAATCACGTGAAAAGTGATTGATGCAATTACCTTCATTAATAGAACACATGCAAATCTCAGGCTGATGTCGACATTAGACTAGAAGTTATTATGAAAAGACCTGTAATTTTTCAAACCTGAAAAAAAATTAACCATGACAGATAAAGTCTTGTATTGCCAATCAAATGATACAGTAAATATTGGTGTTCATTGTATAAGGCATTTGGCTGGTTTAATTGCTCAGACATGCGACGTTTTAATGATTAAAACAAAATGACAATGGTCAAGGTGTCATCATGGGTCATGTGACATCATGTATGTGTGAATTTGAAGCCACTTTATCTCATGAATGGAAGGCCCAATTGGGATGACACTTTGTTTATGGGTATACCATGATGTTTCATACATGAAATTTGAGGTGATGCCATGATGACGTCGTCATTTGATGTTTTACAAATTAGTTTATTTGTCGTGTATTTCAACCTTCTTTTCAACATATCTTTCAAACTAAACAAGGTATTTTCAACATTCCTTTTGCAAGACCTCATGGATACCAAGTAGATGTGTGGGTAGTTTTGACAATTTTGTGACGTCATTCCAAGTTACGATCTCTGTTTCACATAGTAAACAAGTTCAGGTCGTCAAATTCACAGAGTAGGTTCAACCCGACTTACTATATAGATGAAGTGATGTCAGGAAGTTTTGTAGACTTACATTCATGTGCATATGTCATTGACTGTGTACACTTTTTACTGTACATGTTTTGTATTACATGCATGAATGGCATGTTCATTATTAGCATACTTCTAGGAATGTGGAATAGCTCTATGCTCTGTTGCAGACAGGCATAGAACGTCACACTTTTGGATGTCCATGAACTTGTTCTTTCTCTAGGTCATTTGGTTTCCATTAATGGCTTCTTAAATTTGATTTAACGGAGCTTCACCTCCCTGTGTCGACATGGACAATTAACATCTTGACCATTCCTCTCGCTGCAATAGAAGGGGTGGAGGAGTTGCCATGTTCATTAGAAACCTGCTCAAGTTTTACTTTCTTTAGGACCTGAATAGTCTTGTGAAGATTCTGAATGTGTCCAGTTGAACAAGGCCATGAAAAAACTTGATTGTCAGCAGCATCTACAAGGCTTCTTGACATTAACCTGACAACTTAAACAGGTCTTTTGATTTATTCCTTAATACCAGTTACCAATGAGAACAAGCTTTGTTACATAATGAAAGATTTCAATCTCAAATTACTTCACTGCGCTGACCTTCAGCCCATAGACACTTTTGTGAATGTCTTTTTTGCCTATGGTTTCCATCCATTAATTGACAAGCCAGGCTGCATACACATCACAGTGCCACGGTAAAAAATTCTTACAAACAATGACGGGTATTTCTGCAGGGATCCTCAATTTCCGATACTGCAGATTATTTATGTATTTTCCAGGTGAGTCCACTCTGTCTCAAGAATTTAGCATCAACCCACAACACATTCATTACCAAGTATGTCCATCCTGTTACACTTCATTTATTCACTGCTGCTATCAAAGACCCGGGCTGGAGCAATGTCTATGAGGCTGACCAATTTGACTCGGCCTACAAGTCTGCATAGGAGCAATCTCAATTTTCCACACTCTAAAATCCACTAGTTCTTCCAAGAACCAGCCGAGGATCAACCAGTCTCTTGTCAAATCCATTGATCAGATACACAGGCTTTATCAACGCTACCTACACAATCCCGTGATAGCCAGCAAGCCCCTGTATAAGGATTAAGAATTATTTTGCCCACAAACTGGATTCTAACAAAAGTGTGAGAAATGTTTGGTGTGAAATCAATTGCATTTTGAACAAGACCAAACAAGCTGTTCTCTCTTACTAGTTTTCGGATGGTGACCACATCCCATGAGATTCTTCAGAAGTTGTGAACTCCTTCAATACTTCTCTAACATGATACTTTATTCACTGCTAAAATCTTTCCTGCTTCTTTGCATTTTAAGGACTTCCATGACAATCTCAACAGCTCTTCCTTTATTCTGCCGTCCACCAATTTTCCTTAAGTTCTTCAAGTCACCAGTAGTCATTAGCAAAGTGCCAGTTGTGGATTTGAGGGCATCAGTCCATCTGTAGTTAGATAAGTTACAGTTAGATCAGTTATTCCTATCATTTCTCACCCCCTCCCCTGCCTATATTTTCAACCTTTCCTTCTTTACCAGCTCTTTTCCTTCAAACCTTAAAGTTGCTACAGTAATTCCCATCTTCAAAATATGGTGATAAATATAACAGCAACTACAGATCTATTTCTTTTTTCATTCAGTTTTGTCTGTCCAGGGCATTTTGCCACTCACATTTGTGTTTTTGTTTGTCCAGTTATCTTGTCACAAAGGGATGCTTTCCAGAATATGCCTCCATACCTTCCTATAGATTCAACAGGCGGACTTTTTACTGTCCTATCCATTTATTCGTGTATTCAGTGTGTGTGCTTTCATCTTGATGTGGAAATAAATATGAGTTTTGAATTGAATTGACTTTGGGCAGTGTCCCAAACAGGGTTCCTGAAGCCTGGAAAAGTCATGACAAAGTCGTGGAAATTTGTTTTTGTATCCCAGGCCTGGAAAAGTGATGGAATTTTGTAAAAGTGACTGAAAAGTCGTGGAAAAGTCATTAAAATTTTGAAAGACTATGTGTGATGTGTATTATCTGAAATAAGTGCATAAATGCCCGATTTCATTCACAAGTTTAAAGTCTGAATAGTCCAAAAAATTGCATTATTGGGTCATGGATTTTCATAATTTTGTCATGGAAAAGTTCTGGAAAAGTCACGGAATTCAGTTGTTCTTTAGGTGCATTAACACTGCCCAAAGAATTAGTTGAGGAAGTTTCATGCCATAAACTTTATAGTTTAATTTTTTTCAAGGCCAGTCTCATCTCTGGGGTTGTTATTGTAGAGGTCATTCCTTGCATATGAAGCACATGTACTAAACAAAATCTGTTCAAAATTATCATGTCTGAAATAATTCCTGAAGGTTACATTCGGTCACAGTGATGCAATTACAGTTTCCATAAAGAAAAGGATTCTTCTATTCCTCATAATTTTTTTGATGAAAAATGCATGCTGTGGAAATGTAAAGACTCCAGACCCTAGTAACCTTTGTTGCAGACATTATGGTAGGTGCTTGTACATATCTACAAGTGCATAGGATACATTTTAATTCATGGAATCCCATTGCAACACTAGAGTTAACCCTTTACAAATTGTCAAAGTGATGCCTCTTCGGGAACATGCACATGCTTTTGGGGAGGGCAACATAACCTCAGAACATCATATACAGTACCTTCAAAAACTCCCATGAACTAATTGGTTGATCATTGATCACACATCGTTGAATTATTAATTCTATTCAACGGTACTTGTTGAAAAGAACTTCACTTCACTTGACTGGTTCCTGCTCCAGTTTCATTTATTTCATTCACAGTAATAAAGTGGAAAATAGTATAGGGATGTGAAGTAGTCTTATATTACATGAAACTACCAGTAATTGGTGCCTTAGAAATGAATTTGTTTCACCAAATGACAGACGTTGGTATGTGTGGACTGTTAATTTGTTCTCCCAACAGAAGAGGATTTTGGCAGGTATCAGACAAATAATGAATATGTCACATTCGTGTAGTGGTAAGAATACTTTTATGAGGTGACAGATGAAATGTTCAATTCTTGTAGGGAAGCTGAATGGAACATTCCATCTGTCATTGAATGAAATTACTTTAACCATTTCACAAATAAACATTCATTATTTGTATAATGTTATACTTTGTGAGGGCTCATTTGCACAATTTCTTACTGATGGTGTATCATCCTAATGACCAGCATGGCTGATTTGAATAGACATGTTGTTTGCACTGAGGCTTAAACAAGCATTTTGTACCTTTATTCCTTAACTGTATTAAATGTATAAATTCACCTGGAAGTACGGTAAAAGGCATAGACATACATGCTAATTTATGGCTAGATATTTTGCTTTTTCAGTGCCAAAAATTTATACTGAACGTGTCTAGTTCCAGTTATAAAATCACATCAAACTTTCGACATTTACATTTCTATGAAAAGAATGTGAAAAGAAAGAATGTGCACATTTAGAACTCTAACAGTACCTAGTTACTGGACTTCATTGGCAAATCGATAAATGGTCTTGCATGGCAAACTACGGCTGACGTGGACATAGTCCAGCTACCAACAGCTGAGCAGCAGTCATCTTTTCATACCTAAGCCAAATAACTTTCTAAACATTACCTGAATGGAGTTTTCCAGGATGTACAACGTATCTCTAATCCTTGTGCATGTGTTTCTCAAAATCAGATCGCATACTTGGCTCTGATTGCATGCATTCCATTTTCATGGTTTGTGATTCGTTTCCTACAAGATGTTCAGGCTTCCTGATTCTGCTATGCCTTAACTGTGTGCATTATGGTTAATGCCTTAAAATCTTACAGATTTAAAATTCAGGACTTCAGAGTGTCCCAGTATGAAGTGAAATTTAATTGTCACTCAGCTCTACAGTATAAAATCCACCAAAAATAGTGCAAAAATTAGGGCTGAAATTTGATGTATTTGGTTTTGGTAAAGGTGGGTCTAATCGGTGCATGATTTAATTTTTGAAGGTTTGATCAGCAAAGACCACGTGTGGCTGCTAGTCCCAGTCAACCTGTTCAGCAAGGCAATACTGGCATTATCCCACCCTATCCAAACAATTCCATGGACCAAAACATGTATTCGTCTCGCTTCAGCCAGCAGCATAGCAGCTCCCGACCAGCCACACCAAGTGACTCCTTTGGCTCCACTACACTTCCAAATCAGCAAAAAACCCCTCATGCTACTGGCTTACCTGCAGATCAGATGAGGCAACAGTTCCCACAGAAAAGACCTGTAAGTAAATGACTTTGTGTCCACCTATCTGTACTTCTTAACAGTTTGTCCAGAGATTTGCATCAAGGAAACTAAGAGTCAAACCCCCAACACCTACCCTAATTTTCGGAATATAGGCTGCAGCTTATATGTTGATTCTCATGCAGATAAATGTGCCTGTGGCTTATACTCCAGGTGGCTCATATGGCAACTATTGAAGAATGAATCAGAAGAACAAAATCAAATTTTTCCAAGTGCGCCATAATAGAGAACATTCAGCTGAATTATTGCCCAATCTAGACACTGCCAAGTTTGAATTTTGGATGAAATTTAATGACAATGAAATTGTTCACAAAGGCTCAAAAGCCTGTATCGTGAAGGTAATAGTACCAGAGTTAACCAAGTGGATTTGAAGTCTTTCAACAAAGGTTTCCTAACACTACAATGTATATGAGGAAAGTCAAGTGAACATCAAAGTGTGCCACGTTAGGGGACTCCACATACATGTACTAGTGCTTCAGCATGCAGCACAATGACGAATGTGGTTGGACATTGTCAGCACTGCAGTGCCGCTTATTTGCCAGTGTGGCTAATATGCCGACTTTGAATATTAATGCGTAGATTTTTCGAGCTGAAGCTATACTCTGTGCAGCCTATATGCAGGAAATTTACACTAAAACAGATAACAGTTAACCCTGCAGGAATTGTTTCATGTTTTGCAGCTGGACATTGTGTTATGGTTTGATGTCTAACTTTGTCAAAATGAAAGTTGAAAGGGACACCGATGTAAAATTCATTGCAACAGGAATGAAAACCAACTTTAAATGACGAGAATCAAAAAAGACAGCGGGGAATGTTTCCTTTCAGACTACATATGGAAGATGGGCATAACAGGAAAGCAGAGTGCATCGTGTGCACCCAGATTATTTCGTATGGCATTGGCAGTGCTCTGATGCCCACCCAAAAACAACAGATTCAGATCATGTGCAATTAGCTTATGGACTCCATTTGATTAGCACAACCCACAAGCTCTAGTCCTTGTGCCCAGCCAACCACCATCCAAAACCCAACCTCCAGCTGCAAAGAAAAGGAAACATGTCCATACAAGCAAACCAACACTAAGTGTTCACACTGTTGCAAGCAAAATAATGGTCAGTCTTTAAGCAGCACAGCTTGGTTCATCAGAAAAGGGAGCAGAATACGTTGAGTGTTTTTTAGGATTAAGTTTAATGATGTTCATAATGTGCAGGCACTTCAAAGTCATGTACTGTGTGGAGGGCTTGCAGGGTTCTAGATAACTTGCGCAGGGTTCTCCTCGCATACCAACTTGCGTGTTGGGCCCGATACACAATCAGTTCTGCCCAATATGCAAAAAAACGGGCCGATACCCATTTTTTCATCCCCGATACACACAATATAATTATGACAGTAAGGTTCAGAGTTTTCTTACATAATGCAGATTGCATGTCCGGAAAATCTAGATGAAAAAAACACTTTAGTCCTGCATTTTTCCATGTGCTGTACATGCATTGTGCACCACACGTCGGCGGCCACTCTGTACTGCACACCGTACATGTATATCGGCACTGAACGTT